TAGTTGGAAACGGTTACTTGCATTGGCTTTGCTGAGCAAGAGTCCGGATGCGGTAGTTTGTTAGGAGTGAGCTGGAACCTTTCGTCTGGTTCCTCTGAAGAATGGAGAGTCCACAGCGAATCGACAAAGTTACTTGAAGATAAAAACTGCCGGAAAGTCAGACTCCAGGATGATGAGTCTTGGAGAGTGTGTCTCAAGGGTTTGAGCAATGATTGGTTTGAGTTAGGGACTTTTAAGGGTCTACCAGTCACACCCATCTTTGGCAGACTGACCAATGTAGAGGTGTGAATTTTGAGCGGGAGAGGTTCCTTTGTCTCACGCAACACCTTATTTGCATGGTTTGTGGTGGTCTGGAGGATTTGTCCAGTATTAAGTCAAAGTATGGTAAAAAGAGCATGGTGCAAATTATGGTGACATAATATACACCATTAATCCAGGAATCAGAAGACAGTCATTTTGATACCTTACATGCCAGAGTTTGGAAAACATTAAGGCAGTGATACATTCATATGTCTAGATCCAAGTAATTGGAGCTTCACTACAGTACTACAGAGTATAACTAAGCTACTATAACCTAGGAACATGCATACAATGCAGGAATACACTATATACATTTTGGAACAGTTTGATTGTGAATAAATGGAGTCAATGTCCTTTCCTATGTGTATTGTGGCTTTTGAGTATGTCTGGGCCACGGTTAGTGGCTCCTCGTGGGGATGGGGGAGGTGATAACTTTGAACCAGAGGTGGACGTTAGACATGCATCTGTAATTGCATCTGTAATTTAGGGAAAGTTTACGATGCCTAAAACCTGATCAAACATCTTGATTGCATTCAAACGCTACATATGTGTGTGTATATATATATATATATATATATATATATATATATATAACAAAATTATATAATAAATTGTACTAAACCAATAAAACAAATAAAGTGTTCCTTAATTTGTCCAAACAGATACAATCAAGTCTTATTTGAAATTTATTTTCAGCATGATTTTGCTAGTGATGGCTAAGACCTTCCAAACATCCATGCATAATAATAATTTTTTTAACCTTAATGCAAATGTAAATTTCAGAATGCTATGCCATTTTTTTAATTTGATATATATGTAATTCAAAAATAAAATCAAAGTGAATATCCAATAATTATTGATAAACACACTCACAGTTGTGCTGTTGTGCTCAGAATAAGTGAAGTTATTATTTTTCTTTAAAGGTGCGCCCACAGGTTCCCTTTCAGTCGGTCACTACGAGTCACGTCGTGACCGACGAATTGGGATATCGCTTCGATAGACCAATCTACTTCGAGTGTAAACTAAACGAGCCAATGCACATTGGCATGCAATTATTGCATCCAGCTGCCGCTGATCACAGCGTGAGTATAATAAGGCAGCAGGTGCAATGCATACCAGCTTTTCGCTTCGGAGCCGAGCGACAACATCGTTCTGCTCTATGTTTATTTCGAGAACTACGAGTTCAGCACGCTCTCGGAAGCTTTCTGTGTTGGCGGGACGGCGCTTCAGCGGTGGTCGTTCCAGTGTCGAGTGGGTTGCGCACTTCAGGCTGCACTACCCCCTGTCGTGTTGCAAGCGGCCATCTCCCCTGTGCGCCTCAGCACTAAAAGAGCAAATTTCTCTAAAAGAGCTACACGGGTGCGTCTTTATAAAGACGACGGATCGTCCTTATAAGGATGCCGTTTCACCCGTGCGTTTCTGGGTGCGGTCGTTACCTGGCACCGGGTGATGGTCACAATCGCTGCCTCACGTGTCTGGGCATCAAGCACGCTGAGGTGGACTTCGTGGATGAGTCATGTTCTCATTGAGGGAACATGACCATCTCGGAGCTGCGAACCAGGCTCCGCTACCTGCGAGGAGGCGGAGTCCCGTTGCCGCTGGATCGCGGGATCTGGGGCTCGTTCTGGCGGACAGACGA